CCTCGGGTCAACAGAATTCCTTACTTAGAATTTCTGGTTCGCAGACTTCATTTGGAAAAGTCGAATATTTTCCTCGATTTGGGATTCAAGATAAACCGGTGACTTGGGACACCAAAAGCCAAACCTTTCCCAAGTGGCGACTCTGAATTAAATAAATAATCCCATTTCGAATATTGTCACTTAAATTGGAAAAACTCCACTCGCGCATTTTTACCCTTCGGGGCCGGGCGCGCAAAAAGGAGGTGTGACAGTCTTTGTCCTGCTAAGCTTAAAACCCTTAGATTCAAGAGTTTGTCTCCAAACCTCCAGCCTCTCGTTAACACCGGTTTGCGACTCGTCAATCAGAACTATGTCATTGGCGAATAGCATGTACCATGGCACATCCCCTCGAATGTGATATGTTAACGCGTCCATCACCAGGGCGAATAGGAATGGACTGAGCGCAGAACCTTTTTGTAACCCCATAACAACCAGAAAATCCCAAAGTCGCCTCCTACTGTCCTAACCCGAGTCTTTGCCCCATCATACATGTCCTTAATTGCCATAATATAGAGAACCAATACACCTTTTGCCTTCAAGCATCTCCAAAGAACTTCTGTAGGAACCTTGTCATACGCTTTTTCCAAGTCAATAAACACTATGTTCAGATATTTCTTCCTATCTCTGTACTGTTCAACCAACCTCCAACAAGGTGTACAACTTCTGTAGTAGAACGACCCGGCATGAAACCAAATTGGTTGTCGGAGACGGATACTGTCATCCTCAACCTTGCTTCAACCACCCTCTCCCATACTTTCATAGTATGACTCAGTAATTTGATGCCCCTATAATTGTTACAACTCTGGATATCACCTTTGTTCTTATACAGTGGGACCATCATACTCCATCTCCACTCATCTGGCATCCTCTTCGCCTTAAAAATAACATTCAACAACCTAGTTAACCACTCCAAACCTGTTTTCCCCACACACTTCCAAAATTCTACCGGAATCTCGTCGGGCCCGGTCGCTTTGCCCCTACTCATCTTACTCATAGCTCTCATGACCTCCTCAACCTCGATGCGCCTGCAGTACCCAGAGTCACTGTGACTACCGGAATGCTCCAATTCACCGAGCACAATATCCCGATCCCCTACTTCATTAAGAAGTTTTTGAAAGTAAGTCTGCCATCTCTTCTTAATCTGAGAATCTTCCATCAATACTCCACCATCGTCGTCCTTGATGCATCTCACTCGGTCTAAATCCCGAGCTTTCCTCTCTCTTAGCTTGGCCAACCTAAATAACTTATTCTCCCCTCCTTTTTCCCCTAGTTCCTCGTACATACGACTATAAGCCGCAGTCTTAGCCTCCGTGACCGCCAGCTTCGCTTCCTTCCTAGCTACCTTATACCTCTCCATGCAAGCTCGCTTCTCCCCCTCTCTTATGCTCCCCACTAATGCCCGGTACGCCTCTTTTTTCGCTTTCACTTTACCTTGTACCACTTCATTCCACCACCAGTCTCCTTTGTGCCTGCCGGAGATGCCCGTCGAGACCCCTAACACCTCTCTCTCAGCCTCTCTTATACAGTTTGCTGTAGTTGACCACATAGAGTTCGCGTCACCACTAATCTTCCAAGCTCCCATAACTAACAACCGCCCTTCCAACTCTTGGGCTTTGTCCTTAGTTAAGGCTCTCCACCTGATTCTCGATCTTCCTCGAGCAGACATTTTCCTCCTCTTCACCATAATACCAACGTCCATCACCAATAGCCTATGTCGCGTCACGAGTATCTCACTTGGAATCACCTTGCAATCCTTGCACAACCCTCTGTCGCGTCTCCTGAGAAGGAGATAGTCAATCTGAGTCTTCGCCACCGCATTTTGAAAAGTAACCAAATGTTCCTCCCTCTTCAGAAAGCAATAGTTAGCAACCACCAACCAAAAAGCCTTAGCGAAGTCCAGTAACAAGGTTCCTCCTCCGTTCCTCTCCCCAAAATCGAAGCCTCCATGCACTTCGTTATACACACCTGCGGTCAACCCAATATGACCATTGAAATCCCTTCCTATAAATAACTTCTCAGTAGGTGGTACCTGACATATAATCTCATCCAACCCATCCCAAAAGCGCTGTTTAACCTCCTCATCTAGGCCCATATGTGGCGCATAGGCACTGACGACGTTTACGGTGCACTGACCAACCACCAACTTAATAATCATCAATCTATCATTCACTCGTCTAACCTCAACAACAGACTCTCTAAGTTCCCTATCCACCAATATACCCACTCCATTCTTACCCTTCTGGGTTCCAGAGTTCCAAAGTTTATACCCATTTGCGTCCCTCGCACTCGATCCTGCCCACTTTGTCTCCTGGACACACGCTATATTAACCCTCCTCTTCTTGAGGATCTTCTCCAGCTCTATAGATTTACCTATCAATGAACCTACGTTCCATGACCCAATTCTCAACCGATGGACACCCTTGTTCCCTTTACCTCCCTTGCGTCCCAATACACCTCCTAGCCCCCACCCTACCTCCCAACCCACCCCTCGCACATGAACTCTGTTGACCATCCCAGACTGCAGCCACTATAACTCTGGAGGACTAGGGGTAATCACTAACAGACACCACATAACAAACTAGAATAAGACAAGATGTCATTGCAGGTGCCCTAATACGGTGACTAAACTAATAAGAACTAAAAGGATAGCAATTTTACTAACACAATAAAGGGAAATAGGCAAACGGGAGGTACCAAATTCCCGTGAGTATAACCCGGGAATTATCTTAGTATACTCGACTATATTGCGTCCACCTAGCTCGTTCGCGTCCAGCTCCTGTCGTTCCTTGCTGATACTCGGGTTGTTCTTCACTGTTTGTACGTGCCCGTTTCGCTCGCTGCCCAAAGCCACCTGAAAAATAGCTTGACCTCACCGGACAAGAATCCGCACCTCTGGCTTGAAGACGGGCCTGGTTTGTGTGTCACCACGGCACTACAACCAGGCCCAAAACCTGACCAACCAGGCCCAAAACCTGACTGTGGTTGTTCCCACTCGCCGGCGACTGATCCGTGTCTCGCCGGAGTAATAGGGGGAGAAGACAAGACGGGAAAGGAGGAGAGGTAGGGTGAGAGAGAATGGCGGAGAGAGAGAGAGGGGTGTTGGATGATGGGAAGGAGAAAGGGGTGAGGGGACTTACCTGGGCGGAGGGTGGTCGCCGGCGACTGAACTAGTCGCTGTTGAGATCCTCTTATGTTACCGTTGGCAGAGAGCATTAACACGATTCAGATTAAACATTCGGGTTAACTTCTCCCGGCGGGAGTACGCAGATACAAGGAATGGGTCGACCGGAGCCCTGTGTACTCTTTGCCCAAACTTTCGTCCAGCCTCAACTCGATGAGTATGTTGACGAGGTAACTATTATCCTCTTTGCCAGTCACTAGGGTTATGTTATGTGGATAATTGTTGTGTTATATTGTTCCAATTGTCTATTTTCTTGTTGTGGATGCCTTTTATTGTTTATTTTTATTTTTTTGATGTCATTGCTCTGTTATCCGGGTGTTTGCCAGGTGCTATTCCCAGAGCCGGTCGTAGTCACTGCTTGCGAGTTTCTTGAACAGAATGCCGCTTCTGCTTGTTCTTCACTCAAGCTTGTGGGGTACGGTTTGCTTTTTATATTTGCTTACTATTATTTACCGCAGTTTGAAGTAACATTGCACAAAGCTATATTTAAGTTGTAGTCCAAGTGTGAATTCAAAAATTTCTAGGTTATAGGTTCTATTGCGGTTTTATTGCATTAATGTTGGTTTACATGTTCAAATAACGCATTAAAAGTTTTTGATACACCATATATTATGCTTACAACGGAATGGGGTATTTTTGGGACCATCAGCCAATCAGGTTATCATTGTTGACAGTGAGACGTAGAGAAGCAAGACAAAAAGGATTTGTCTGAGATGTGACATTGTTTAGAAAATCTTAGGAGCATATTTGTCAAAGAGTTGTTAAGATATAAATATTTGCCCGGGTTCATAAAATAAACAGAAGGCTGAAGTTTTAGGCTTTGGTTCTTCTCAACTTTGAAGCCGAATAGGGTGGAAATGGTGTAGTTACAGGCTCAAGGACTTACAAAAGGAAATTGAAAATCTCAGACTGGGCTATGTGAAGTGTTAACAGCAGTTGAGACTTGAGAGTAGTTTCCAAAGACTGGAGAATCCCAAATTTACATATGAGTTTTCAGTCCATGGCGGGAATTTCTCTTGCTCAGTTTTGACAGTCGTGAGTCTTGGCCAAGTGTGCTTAGAAGTACATGTACATTGATGGTAATCCCCAGCGAACATCTCCGGCAAACCTCCAATTGTGTGAGAGAGTAAGAGAAATAAAAGGAGGTGAGGAACTTGGGAGGGAAGAACAATTGGGCGTACAAATTCCGCTGCTTATTAATCACAACGTTACAGAGAAAAATAGATGATAGTTAGCAGTAATATCAAGTTCAGGTCTTCTCTTATTACGAGTCTTAAAGTGGATATTTATGGTTAGTTTAAATCTATATGTTTGGGGTATTGTTGGTGGAAGTCACTTCCCCCGGTATCTTTTCCAGTGGTATTGGAACTTCTAACTCATCAACAACCTTAATTATTAAAGAGAATTTGATAAGCAGTCTGACTTGCATATCACTCTTCATGTCTGATTGTGGCTATGGATTTAAGAAGAGCCTATTGGATGAGAACTTAATAGATCATGGCCTTCAATCTCAGTGCATGGTCTTCACTTTAATGGAAGGGAGGTGATACTTTTCAACAACAAACAACAACAACAACCCAGTATAATCCCACTTAGTGGGGTCTGGGGAGGGTAGTGTGTACGCAGACCTTACCCCTTCCCTGGGGTAGAGAGGCTGTTTCCAAATAGGCTTTCGGCATCCTTCCTTCCAAGAACTTCCCACCTTGCTCTTGGGGATATGATACTTTTCATTCTAAAGAAATTGGTTGAATCTACCACGCAAGATAGAGGAGGTTGTAATTATATTTTTTTTGATGGATATTGAGTGGAAATAAAATTTACCCTATTAAGTCTTTGACTGATTCTGAAAAGTTTTGTGCCGTGTTCTAGCAATTTAGAGAGTGAAGGACTTCCTTATGTATCGATCTTGGCGCTGACCGTGAGAATAACTTTACTTGAGTTTTGCACCCAAGGGTGTGGCTTAATGGTCAATGAAGTGAGTGAGAACCATGAGGTCTCAGATGAAATCCCAACGGAGGCCAAAAACACTAGGTGATTTCAATCCATCCATCCAAGCTTGGTGGATAGAGTTACCTGGTACCTGTTGCGGGTGGGAGGTAGCAGGTATCCATGGAATTAGTCGAGGAGTGCGCAAGCTAGCCCGAACACAACAGTTATTTAAAAAAAGCTTTTACTTGAGTTCATCTGGACGAAAGAGTGAAGTGGAAGATTTTTACTATGTGTTATAGAAAACTAAAATTAGCAAAAAATCTTTCTGCTGAGTCCGTTTGAATATGTTTTTCTCTCTTTGATGCATGTGTGAGTGCAGGGAGAATGTTTTCATCTCAATTCTTAGTTTTTATTAGGGTAATTTTTTCGAAAAAGAAGTTTTTAATAGGGAAATTAAGGAAAGACCTTTACATGATTGGCTGGTTCGAGCGGAACACATTTTTTTCCTATGGATCTGAGAAGCCAATGTCAAATATCATTGATCTGCATTTTTGTTATAGGAACAATTACCTATAATATATAATAACAAAAAGAAGACCCTATGTGTCGAAGACTGATAAGCTTATGATCTTCTCTTTCGTATAAAAGAAACCGTTGTTAGTAAGGATGTGTACCGAAAAAAGAACAATTTTTCTGTGCAACAATACAACTAATAACAAAAGCCTCACAATTATTTAGGAGGTCAGTGAACTAGATCTCTTGAAGTAGGCATAGTGCTCTATCCTTATCGCAGAGAAAGTAACGTTCAGTCCCATGGAGAAATTTAGGATAATTCTAGTTTAGTGCTTTTCATAACTAATACAAATATAGTGTAATAATCTAAGTGGAAGATATGATCGCACTTCTCAACCAGATTATATAGGATCTTGCTGTTATTTCTTTAGCAGACGCTTTGTATTTAGAGTGGAAGACAAAGCAAACCTGAAAGGTAACACATCCTCTCCATAAATCTGCTTTTATGCTGTTGGGTCAAAATTACTTACCACATTATTGGTTGAAGACACTTATAATCTTCTACTGAATTTGTTATCATCTTGCTTTTCTGGAGCTATGTGAAATTATGACTGAATGAGTTTTGTATGTGTTGTCATGATTGTTATGGCTTATGAATACCCCTTTGGACCCTTCTATAAAAGTTTTTATCTAGTTCTCCCTAAATATGAGAATACTTCTTGATGTATGTTTTGATACTACCTTTTGGTTTGCTCAGGGCCACTTCCCCACCTTCATTTGCTTTGGAGGTTTTTGTCCAATGCGAGGGAGAGACAAGGTTTAGGCGTCTATGTCAACCTTTCCTGTATTCTCATTCTTCGTCAAATGTGCTTGAAGTTGAGGTATCAAGTAAAATTTGCCTAATTCTTGTCTTATTCATACGGTGGTCTTGGAAAATGGCATTAGTTTTCAGGATATTGTTTGAAGAACTAATCCACATTGTTTGCAACCCTTGTGCCATTGTGCGTGTTTAGGAGAAAGTAGTTTTCTATTTCATTTCTTTTCTTCAGGAGTAATTATTGTTTGTATGACAACTCCATTTAGAAATTCTCTTTTGTGTTTGAATAAATCCATTAGGACATTCGTATTTCGTGGCCATTAATAATGTCCAGCTGTACATTTGCTTGTTCTTTTTTACTTTTACAACTGAAGCTTCCCTTTATAACTGGCTGTTTCAATTCTAGCCACAGCGAATTTGGAGGAATTTAATCTGTATTCCACTGTTATAATTTGAATGTCGTGGTTTCTGTTGTAGGCTGTCTTGTAATACTAGCTTTTTTCCTGAATGGGATGTGTTGTTGATTAGTTCCCAAATGCCAAATGGAACGTTTTATCTTATATTGCATATATCCAAAATCTTTTACGTCTATAAAATTGAGAAAGAATTATATTAATCCATGAGCTCTCTGATAATATTCCGAGTGCACACACTTCCTTTTTCCTCCTCCTCCTCCACGGGATTTGGGCTGTAAGGTTAGATCTCTGGCACTGAAAACAGTAGTTGAGACTCTGCAAGAAGAAGTGGAGAATAACATTTGGTATGTCATTACTCATTGACCATAAAGCTGCTGTTGCAGTCTCTCCTGAGTACTTATCTAAATTGAAAGGTCAATAGGTGGTAGTGTTCTTTTATGAAGGTCTAATAGTTTTCCCAAGTTGGCTAGGTAAGATTGGTCCGGATCAGTACCAACTGAAAGACAATTGAAATGCTAATCTGTCGCCCCCCAAAAAACAGAATATGGCTTGCTTTTTCAACTTCAAGATTCAATTTTGGAGTTAGTGATCTCATCGCTGTAAAAGCAACATTTTTCCTCAATGACTTGGTGAATGAGCCATCAGGGTCAATTGTGCTAAAATATCTCCTAAACGAGCTCTTTTGAAGCTCCTCTTTATGCACAAAAATAACAAACAAAGCCAGTTATCTTCTTGTGGCTCAGTATCTGTTAAGTTTTGTGAACGTCTCTTGTGTTTTGGTATCTCTCACTTTATAGATGTGTTTCCTACAATTGTTTTTTTGTATTTTAAAGTAACAAGAGCCAATCTTTTCAGAAGTTCTAAAACATGTATATTTCATGATATTCTAAGTTTGATCAGCTTGAATTGGATCGTTACAGACATTTTTCTGATATTTAGATTTCATTGATGAAGCACTAAGGGTAAAAGTCGTTGGATCTTAATGCATCAATACGATGCATCCAACGATAACTGTAGAAGAAATGAGCTAAAAGTCGTTGGATCTTAATGCATCCAAAAGCTTCATATTTCATGGTGGGAAATAGGATATTTATCCTTGCTTCACCTGTCGACCAGTATAAATATTGAACAGAGATGGATCTGAGCCTGTTCAAAGACATATTCTTCCCCTGAAACATCCTTCTAATTCTTTCCAGCCAAATAAGCCTAGACAAACATGTGTATAATATCCCCCAAAACTGTCTGTTCCTTCAAACAAGGCAGCTGCTTAAGCAGATTGCAGTTCTAGGCATCACCAAGGCATATTGCCCAGGGACAAAATAAGACATAAGACGCCATTTTTTATTTTTTTATTTTGATAATTAAGAGGCGTTAAGGTCTGCGTACACACTACCCTCCCCAGACCCCTATTGTGGGACTATACTGGGTATTATGTTGTTGTCCACTAACAGTAGGGAAATGTGATAACTGTCTTCTCTTCTGGCTTACAGAAATTCTGGGTGTGTTTGGACTAGGAAACAGTTTGTTTTTGTTATGTTCTTCTGTTTTTTTTGTCTTTCACCAGTGATTGGATTTGGGATTATTCTGAGAGAATGTGTGTTCTGATTGTTCTGTTTTGTTTTCTAAAACAAAACAAAACGTGTTTGGATTTGAAAAACCAAAATACCTGTGCAAGAAACAAAACAGTTCTGTTTCGAGAACAGCATTTTATATCGTTTCTTTCCCTTTTCTTGTTGTTATTACCTGTGAGGTGGTTCCCATGCTGCTCCATGATGGGAAAAAGATGCATTTTGAGGGCCTCTATCTATTTGCAACATACTTATGGGGCTCTATGAGTGTTAATGCTTTTTAATGCAACTACTATTTCCTGTATATGGTGCATTCTAGACTTCGATTGGACAAATATGAACTTATTTTCCATTGTTACTTCTCTCTTTTCTTTCCTCCTTGAATTCCTATATATGTCTTTATTGCCACACGTTTCGCCTCTTGGGAATAAACCCCCACAGAAATAATATTCACGGTATTAAAAGCGGAATAATAACGTAGCACCATGATATGATAATTAACAAGAATAAAATAGTGACAACAACACCAAAATTTTTACGTGGAAAACCCTTTTGAATAAGGGAAAAAAACCACGGCCCTGAGACGAGCAATTGATATCACTATAGCAAGGAATTTTTACACTTTGTAGATCCGAGTAAAATACTCCAAAGACCACTACAACACTCAAAAGAAATAACCCTCTTTTGATATTTTCACCTCACTACTATATCGCTCACTCTCTAATTTCCTCACAAATTATTTCCTTATACCTTATCTGTGAAACCTCATTCTTTCTTTCTCTCTTTGTTGGAGTGTGGAAATGAGAGTTGAAGTTCTCCTTTTATAGCCAAAGGTTCACTCTCTAAAGCCTACCATATTTGACAATTTACATACACTTTTCACAATTCAACAAAGTTGGCTACCAAACCAAAGAAATTCAACAAAGTTGGCTACCAAACCACACTAATTCAACAAGGCTGACTACCAAACCAAACCAAGTCAACAAGGTTGGCTACCAAACCAAAGAAACTTTTATTTGGCACATGCCTAATACTTCTTTAATGAGATGGACATTATCAATCTCCCCCTCCAGTCTCATTCATCTAGAGGTAGCATTATCTTCTAGTTTGAGTGCATGCCGACAAGTTCTATGCATAGCTCGAACTTGTTCCTTGGTACCACCTTGATCAGCATATCTGCGGGATTCTCACTTGTAGAAATCTTCAAGACTTTTAGAGATTCATCATCTACCATTTCTCGAATCCAATGATATCTCACATCAATGTGTTTGGTCCTTGCATGGTACATAGAGTTCTTGCTAAGGTCTATTGCACTTTGACTGTCACAATAGACGACATACTCCTTTTGATGCAATCCAAGCTCTTGAAGGAACCGTTTCAACCATATCATCTCCTCGCCAGCTTCGGTGGCGGCAATATACTCCGCTTTAGTTGTAGAGAGTGCAACACACTTCTGCAACCTCGACTGCCTTGATATAGCTTCCCCTGAAAATGTAAACAAATATCCAGTAGTGGATTTTCTATTATCAATGTCACTTGCCATATCAGCATCTGTATAGCCCTTTAAGATTGGATCAGATCCTCCAAAGCACAAACAATCTCCTGTGATACCTCTTAGGTACCTGAGTATCCACTTGACTGCTTCCCAATGTTCCTTTCCATGATTTTCAAGAAACCTGCTGACAACACCAACTGCGTGAGCAATATCAGGTCTAGTGTATACCATTGCACACATCAAGCTTCCGACTGCTGAAGAATAAGGAACTCTAGCCATATTCCCTTTCTCCTCCACTGTTGTAGGACATATCTTCTTGCTCAACTTTAGATGACCAGCAAGAGGTGTGCTGACTGGCTTAGCACGTTTCATGTTGAAGCATTCCAGTACATGTTCAATGTACTTCTCCTGAGATAGCCACAACTTTCTACTTGTTCGCTCTTGAACTATCTTCATCCCTAGAATTTGTTGTAATGGGCCCAAGTCCTTCATATCAAATGACTTGGACAGATCTCCCTTCAACTTTGCTATCAACCCCTTGTCTTTTCCTACAATTAACATGTCATCCACATACAACAACAATATAATAAAGTTATTCTCAGAAAATCTTTTGAAGTATACACATGGATCAGAATAGGTCTTTAGGTATGTTTGACTTTTCATGAATGAATCAAACTTCATGTACCACTGCCTTGGTGCCTGCTTCAATCCATAAAGACTCTTATTCAATTTGCACACCATGTGTTTCTTTCCAGCTACTTCAAATCCTTCTGGTTGCTCCATATAAATCTCCTCTTCCATATCTCCATGAAGAAATACAGTTTTCACATCCAACTACTCCACTTCAAGATCTAGGCTAGCTGCTAAGCTCAAAATTGTTCGAATAGAAGTCATTTTGACAACATGTTAGAAAATTTATCAAAATCAATACCTTTCTTTTGTTCGAAGCCTTTAACCACCAATCGAGCTTTGTATCTGACCAGCTTGCCATTTCCATCTTTCTTGAGTTTAAAAATCCATTTGCATTTGAGTGGTCTTTTACTCTTTGGAAGTTCAACCAGCTTGTACGTACCATTTTTCTGTAGAGATTCCATCTCTTCTTGCATGGCTTTCACCCACTGGTTCTTTTCTGGATGGGACATCACCTCCTTAATACTTTCTGGCTCCCCCTCATCACTGATGAGGACATACTCTGTGGAAGAGTACTTGCATGACTCTATCCTTGGCCTCTCTGATCTCCTCAGAGGTTGAGGTTGTTCTTCTTCCTGAGTGGGGTGCTCCACTTCCTCGATACCTTCATCAAGTTGCTACCCATGCTCAATAACCACACCTGGTTGCTCCTCCTGCTCGGCAACCTCGTCGGTCGTACTTTCTGCACTTGTGGGATTGTTAGAACTATAAGGAATAGTAACAAGGTTAGGAATTATACCATTCTTCACCTTTTCTGACATATCAGCAGCAGTTCCAACTTCACTTTCTCGGAAGACTACATCTCTGCTTCTGATGACCTTTTTCTTTATAGGATCCCACAGTATGTACCCGAACTCTTCATCTCCATATCCGATAAATATGCAGGGAACAGATT